AGCATCTCCTCTGAGATTGCTTCCATCGTGTCCATGCCATCGCCAAAGGCTGCGCGGTGCGATGGTCCTTCGGGGAAGCGGCAGGAGCTGGGTCACCGCTGCCGCGCGCCGGGGTAACCGATCGCGCGCCCATCCTGCCGCCGCGATGACGGAAGCCAGATCTCGAGCGTTGCGGTGTTGAGCTTCGAGATATGTGGCCTCGGTCATCACGACCGCTGGACTGCGATCTCCCTCGGGTAGATCGCCCTCGCGGGGTCCCCTGTGGGGTACCCTGCGGTGTCCAGTCGTAGTTCGGGAGGAAGCCAGCTGCACGCTCCTCCTCGAACCATTGCGCCCAGTGGTCAGCAACGCATGCTTGACCGTACAGGATCTTGTTCTGCTCTACCGAGTCCTTGTTCTCCTTGTTGATGGCCGCGATGATCCCCTTCAGGTCCTTGTTTTCCTTGAGCGTCGCTTCAAGAAGTGCTTCCGCTCGGATAGCACGGCCCCGCCAGTCGTGTGGATCGGAGACAAAAGCGCGGGATGGCCCAGGAGGGGGTCCATCCCTATCGCCGCCAGAACCACTGCCTTGGGCTGCTCTCCCAGGGGATCTGCTCGGGGGCCCACGAGGTGGTGCCCGCGTAGGCGGTGGTCCTACAGGTTCAGGTGATGGAGGGGATCGCCACCTGAGCTCTGTGGCACTGCCATCAACCAGGCGCTGCCTTCGGTATCTGTGGCACTGCCTTGGGGACGCCCGGTCCAGGCTTTGGCGCCGCCTTGACCGGCAACTCCGAAGGCGCGGCTCCAGAGTCGGAGGTCTGATATCCAGTACCTCCTCGTGGCTGCTTGTTCGGCGTCGTCGATCGAACAGCTGAAGCCAAGGATCCAGCAGGGGGATTCCTCGGTGTGCCACGACTTCCACCCGACGTCGGCGGCCGGTGGGACACTGTGCGCGGCCGGATCTAGTGTCGGCCGGGTGGCTCGCGAAGTCCCCTGCGATTTGCGGGTCTAGGTGAGCTAGTACCCGATTACCGAGCTGTGTTGCTTCGGTATGGTCGAAGTGCCCACGGCACCACGCACAACGACCTCCGCATCGCATGGGGCCCCAGCTCTCATTGGCGTGGAGGTGGCCAAGGAAATGGTCCACCCCTTTCACGTACAACGCCGCAGAGATGAGTGTGCCAACGGCTACACTCCTGTGCCGGTTGCTATTGCAATACGGCAGCACAACCATAGGTTTGTGATAGCGTATCGCATGCTGTATGTCGGAGAAGCACATCGACAAGATTGTGCGGCCTGCCTTAGACTCCAGTACGCCATCCAGAATCTTCGGGTGTCTTCCCACACACTGGCCATACTCGCCGTTGTGTGGATCCTTGAGCTCTCGGACGTCATGCAGTCTCAGAGAGTACTGCAGAATGGCTGGCGGAATTGAATCCTGCCAGCCGTCCTTCGCATGGATGCGAATACGTTCGCGGCCTCGGTCGTCGAACTGGTACTTCGCGCCTCCAGTCAGGATGACAATGTTGGGCCATTCCTGAGCTTGTCGCCGAAAGTGCGTGCTCGT